GATTTGACGTTGTGGAGAACTCTGAACGAGTTTAAAACTCTATGAAAGAGTTGATTTAACCGAAAGTCGGTTATAAGCCAAGGATGAAAAAGATCTTGTTGCCGATCTCCAAAGCTCCAACCGAAGGATGAAGGATCCTCTTTTCGCTGCCAAGAAGTTCCAACAGACCGACTGAACTGAATTGATTTTTAGTTATTTATAGGGGATTAAGGGGTGTAACCACCTCCTTAATTCGCTCCCAAGTGGGACTAATGGGATGTAACCGCCCCCCTTAAATCACTCCTGAGTGGAGTTGTGATCCCCTCAGATCGTGGGAAACGGTTTTGAAACCGTTCAACTCGTGTTTGAACGAGTCAAACGCAGATCCTGCATTCTGGCAGTGTCTGGAAGCTTGAACGCAGTGATTGGAAGCTGCGTTTGCAGCGGATGAAAGCTGCGTTTGGCAGCGGTATAGAGCTGCGTTGGGCAGCGCTTGGAGCTGCGTTGGGCACGGTATAGAGCTGCGTTGGGCAGCGCTTGGAGCTGCGTTGGGCAGCGGTTGAATCTGCGTTGAGCAGCGGTTGGAGCTGCGTTGAGCTGCGGTATGAGCTGCGTTGAGCTGCGTTCGTGGCTATGAACGCGATGCGTCTTGATACTGGTGTGCGGGGAGGACTTCCGCAGCTTGATTTGAAGAAATCATCGATTTGTAGTCTCTTTCTGTCGAAGCGTTGCAAAGATCGTTATTTTGTAATCTTTGCTTTAGCTCTCTGATATGTAAGAGTCGTTAGATTGTAACTCCCGATGTTGATTATGAAGGCTGTTTGATTAGAGCTTCCATCAATTGTTGTGAATGTCGTCAGATTGTAACCTTCATCGATCCACGTAAAAGTCTTCAAATTGTAGCCTTCTGGAAGTCGTCAGATTGTAACTTCCATCATCGGTGTTTGATGGGGATCAGCTATCTATTGTGATTTTTAGACAGCCTACAACAGCTGGCTAGGCTGAGTTTTACTCTTAATAAGTCCAACGCACGTATTGTGGGGGGTATTAAATAAACAGCTGTAGTACCATTTGAGAACTTACCTACGTGAGAGGAACCGTGATGGCCATGAGTCGGTTTTTTGTGAGCATGGCCTTTAACGCTCAACCCGCTTAGCTCAATAGATAAAAATGTATTGTGTGTGTTTTTATCAATACCTGATTCAAGGGGCTTAATTCAAGGCCTAGTCCATTATGTCCCTCAGGTGGCGATGAACTCACTAAGGAAATATTCAAAGCTGAAAGCTACCTCTCCCGAATTCACGATACGAAAGGTTGCCCAACCTATATTTATTTTGTGATTTATTTTATTATTTTGAATTTTCAGTCAATATTGCCTTTTGGGGGGGACTGTTGGATGCTTTGTTCATGAAAAGGCAATTTTTGCCTTTGTGAATAGTCCCACATTAGAAAATGAGATGAATAGTATAGGGTATATAATGGTTCTCTCCTTATTGGGCTTTGAATAGTGTTTTGGGTTTTGTAGGCTTTGCATATCTATCTCACACACGCGCGCGCGCGCACGCACGCCACGCCTCGCCTCGCTCGCACGCGCGCGCCACGCCACACACACATTTTTGCTTCTCAAGCTTTTATTTTTGCACGTTTTACACGTTCTGTAACGGCTGCATGCAGGTAACGGAAGCAAGATTTGTGCGTAACGGTCCCTTGGATTCAGCGGGGGTTACACCTCTCCTCACCTATATAAGCAGGCTTGGAGCTCATTCAGAAGCACACCAATGAAGAGAAGAACTTCTAAGCTCTCTTCTTTCTCTACTCTCATTTTTCCAAGAAATTTCGGCTACATATTTATATTTATATTTTGGGCAACCGTTTTCGTCTGAACATAAGTTCTGTGACTCACGCCCGAGTGCAGAGGCCGGCCGATTTTGGGGGTTTTTACCGTTATGAGAAAGGGGACAAATTGCGCCAGGACGATAGGCGGATCCTTAATCTTCTAGGGCAGTGACATCACGACTGCTCCCGATCAGGCCTGAATTTTCTAACTCTTTAATTATTTATTCCTGTTTGACAGCACGTTCTCCCTGCGGTGTGTACTATATATATATATATATATATATATATATTATATATATATATATATATATATATATATATATTATATATATATATATATATATATTATATATATATGTGTGTGTGTGTGTGTGTGTGTGTGTGTGTGTGGAGAAAAATGAGTATGCTTGGCACCACAGCATAAGTTTTTGTGCTTAGTAGTGAGGTGACATATTCCCTCTCTCATTAAAATTGGGGCCCACATTCACATGGATTGGGGAGTGGTTGGGAATTAAAATGAGTGGATGGGAATATGACACCTCACTACAAGCACAAATTTATGCTTGATACCAAGGCATACCCATATTTCTCAATTATATATAATATATATATATATATATATATATATATATATTATATATATATATATATTAAGAAATTCTTTAAGGACCCAAATATGGACAATAAAGGGACAAGTGAGGTGTTCCCTCCTATTGGATAATGAGTTGGTCATCATTAATGATGGCCAACTCAGTATCTAATAGGAGGGGGACACTCACTTGTCCCCTATTATTGTCCATATTTTGGGTCCCTGTAGCAAAGCTCATATATATATATATAGAGCAAAACTTGTGTCCACTTAAAGTGGACATCCACTAACTTTTTAACCCTTAGATGTTTCCTAGGGATCCTTGCATGATATGAAGTGATTTTATATGTTAAATGAGTGGATATAAAGTTTGGTGGACACACTATTCACTATCCCTTAAGTTGACACAAGTTCTTACTATATATATATATATATATATATATATATTATATATGAGTGGAGACTTACATCTCCTTGCTCTCCCCAATCCGTGTATCGAGTCAACTAGAGGATTCATTGGAACTATTTCCCTAGTCCTTTTCAATTCCGACGCAAACAATTAATTTCACGTAGAAAAAATTGAGATGGAAGAAAAATAATCAACATTAACGTCCAACTCTAATGGGATAAAAGGTTCAGCCGGTGTTTTATTCGTAACATAGCAAAATGAGTACGGTTCACATTGAAGAGAGGAAAGCTGCTTTCTTCCAAAAATATACAACGCACGTGAAAAGCATTATTCTTTCCCTTATGGTATGAGTCAAAAGAAGACAAATGCAATAAATAAGAAGTTTCTAAAACTCTAGAAGATTTTACCATCCATGATTACTAGTTCGGTCGTCTAACCAAGTAAACTAGGAAACATGAGTACCATCATCTATGAGAGAACAAGAATTTTTACCATCCGTGACGGCAATGCACTCTCTTCATCTTCATGGATCTTTGGAAGAAGAAAGTTATACATCAATACTAGTAGAAATTCTATCTTTCTATATTACAACCTTTTAGACACTACTTGTGTCTAAGCTTTTGTAATTAACAATCTTTTGTTGTTTTTGGTTTTTTAATGAACGGGGTTATAACCCCTGTTTTTCGATCAAAAAAAAAAAATCATCTATGAGAGAACAAGATATTTAGTAATATAATCAGAACACTAGTAACTTGGTTCTCAACCTCTTTTTAAACGCATAATTCTCATAGGTCCAATAACTTCCTAGCTTATGCTAAATGGTCCAAACTGTATAAATAAAATTGAACTTAAAAAAAAAAAAAATCTTATGGTATATGAGGTTAGCAGCAGGTCCTAAGCAAATTGGTTCTGTAATTCATATTTTTGAATGAGATGTGTTTGAAAGTTTTAGGTAGCGAATCAATGCCAAATTTCAGCAAAAGATGAACTCTGTAATCCTAATACCATTAAAACTCAAATGCTTATAACTTTCTCATAATATGATTGATAATGCACTTGTAATTACGTTTCATCTTACTTTTCTCCCGAAATAAATGGTAATTTAAAATTAAAAAACATTTGCCATTTGAAGGGTACGTATGAGGAAAAGTCCTTAATTTTCATATTAATTATATAGGGACCCTTAAAAATAGCAGTCTTGTCCCGTTCCTCCCTCGCTGCCGAAGTCAAAGGCGGCGGTTGATCGGATTTGTGTACCAAGATGCTTTGAAACGCTAATCACTTTCAACCAATGGGTTAATTTATTAATGTGGGTTATACTAGGGAAAAATATCTCATGGATTTGAACATATGACACAAAGTTCCTGGTACATATATATGCTCAGTGATTTGGACTAATCGCATAAATTACATCTTCCCTTAGACTGATCCAGCGCAATTGGCCTAACCCTTCAGTTTTGGTGGTGGGTTATCTTTATACAGTTACATGATAAGTTAAAGACTATGAAAAGTGTCACTAGCGAGAGTTAATTAGGGATAAAATTAAAACATGGGCTAGATATTAACCTTTGTGTAACAAAGTGATAACGATAGGAATTATAGAATACACATTGCGCGCGCGTCAGAAAATTGATCATTAGAGTATAATAGCCCGGGCAACTTGATATTTTATTTCTTAATACGAGATAATACGACAATAATTTCAAATTAGTCATCTCGTAAGGCATATGATCCTCACTAATTAAAAGGGCAACATTATGTAAGAAGGCATATGATTCTCACTAAAAGGGCAACATAAATGCACAGCCACACCTTAGAAATTTCTTGCTTATTTGATTTTTGAGAGATTGACTTGAGCACCATAGAGGCACCAAAGGAATGACACTACTATTCTGAAGGATGCGGTGACATCAGCTAGTCAAAAATCATCATCCTAACAAGGGCGGCTGTAGGGCAATCTGGAGACTGGATCGAAGTAGTAGAGACTGGAGTTATAGATTGGAAAAGGGCGTCGTCGAGGTTAATTTGGGTCGGGTTCGAAGACCAAGGGAAGTACGGGTACGCATCCACGAAGTAATAGGATCCGGTATCGTTTTGGGTAAAAAAATAAAAAATAAAAAATAAAAAAAAAATAACCCTTCAAAGATATATATATATATATATATATATATATTTTGAAACAAAGAGAATAATTTGTTTTATCTTCTCCGAGAGAGAGAGAGAGAGAGGGAGGGAGATTCACGAGAGAGAGAGAGAGAGATGAGGGCAGCTAAATTTAATGTTTGCTTGGTGATCTTGACTCTGAGCTTCTTCTATGGAGGAGATTTGAGATGTGAAGCCCAAAGCTTGCCCCAAGAAGAGAGTAAGTTAATTTGATCACTTATAAATGCTCTGTTGCATACAATAACTAGTTTTTCCCCCTTAGTTTATGTAACTTGTTCTTTGAAATTAATGGCTTTTATTACAATGAATTGTAGAAGGAGTTATTACATTTCATGTTCAATAGGAAGAAATATAGAAGGCGAAAAAAGTTAGATTATTTGGATAAGGTTGTTGTTGTTCAATATCCCTTTTCTTTTAATATTTCTTATGATTTATTGTTACGTGGACGAACCCACTTTCAGTCTCACCTCATATAATTTAGAAAATTATTTATATAAATATTCTTAATTTCGTGAAATCCAGACGATCTTCTCATTGCTTTTAGCTAAAATAAATAATAAAAATATTGTCATCACACATTCTCGTTTTTGCTAGAGCAATGATAAGTACATTTTCTTATACCCTATAAACCTTGAACGAACGTTACCATTACTTTTTTGATTATAGCATTTGATTATGCATGTGCCCATGCCGATACATAATAACTAAAAATTTAGAAGACAGGCAAAAAAAAAAAAAAATCCCCCTATTTCATAATCTTGATCTAATTATAGGGTAAATTTTACCAAACCGTCAATAAATTTCGACCTTCAGCACTTAAACCTCAAAAAGCATGAAACTCTCACTAAAGTTCCACTGAACTTAGAAATTCGAGGAAAACCCCCCCAAAATATTTTGACTTTTTTGCTTAATCCCCAAAGTGGTGTAAGCAAGCGCATACTTAGAGCCTCTAAAGAGAGAATATCACATAAAAATGATAAAGTACTTAGGAAAAAATGCTTCCAGCCCCCAAAACGAAAGAAAACGTGCTTCCCTCTCCCAAGACTTTTTTAACGGGTGTTTTGTCCTCAAAAGTAAACTTTGTGTTCTCTGAGCCCCCAAAACACAAAACCCAAGAGATTTAAATTCGTGAAGACCATAATACCCTTCTCTCTCTTTTATATCTATTATGTTTTGAAAGAGTTTCCTCCATCAATCCCAACGGAGAAGCTCGACCTCCGTCAATCCCCGCCTCCATCGCCGTCGAAGCTCCGTCAATCCCCTCGCCATCGATTTCATCGGAGGCGTTTATGTTCTACGAGACGATCTTGAACAGGGAGTACTTTAGAGGGGAGGGATTAGGGTTAGGGCAAGGGCAACATGAATTGGGGCTGATGAACAAGCATATGAGGTTCTTGGCGAGGTTTCTCATTGTTTGTTTGGTGACTGGGAGGAGAGATATGGTGAATCGGCTTGTTGGGCAGCTTAAGGGGCAAGTTGATGAGTGCAAGAAGAATTTTCAGGTAAAAGATTGTGTGAAAATTAAAGCATTTGAAGGGATTGAGGAGGTGGAAGAAGGAAGTGGGTCTTGTTAGTGATTTTAATCGTAACCTTAACAACCAACTCGTAACCTTCACAATCAAACTGTAACCTTAACAACCAAACCATAATATTAACAACCAAATCGTAACCTTAACAACTAACCTGTAACCTTAACAATCAACGCGTAACATTAATAATCATAACATTAACATATCGAGCGCCTTCATCCCGGACACAGTGTCGATCATCCCAACGCTCCTTAGCCTCTTAACCCCAGTGCCCCCAAAAAGGCCCATCATGCCCACAAGAGCTCACCACGACCTTGGCCTCCATCACGTTCGGATCCATGCACGACTGAGTGTCGTGGTTCATCGACACCAACACCCAATTCGACAAAAACCTCCCCCACCCCTCGGCCAGGCAGACCACGCCCCAAGGGCAACCCCCGACCCTCCACACTTCTTAATTATCATCCTTGTCGTCACCAACATTGAACAGCTTCACATTAGCCGCTCAGTAGCTTGTCATGATGTGTGGAGGTGAACGAGAGGCAGCGTGCTGGATGACGACGTAGATCCTCCCTGCTCGTCGTAAGGACCTCAGGCTCGTCGAGGAAGAGGTGGACAGCGGGCTAGCGCACGACACGGCAGGAGAAGAGTCTGGCCAGCCGAGCGCAGGCGTCGCGGGGCCCGGAGAGACGGACTGCTCGATGATCTGGCGCGGTTAGATGTACGAGGTTGCTTAGAGAGCTCGTAGGCCGCAGAGTGGCCGAGCGGATCGGCGGGCCGGACGCGCGCCGACGGACGGACATCGGTGTCGACGTAGGTGATCATGTCGGTCATGTAACAGCGGGTCATCTCGCGGGAGACGATGGATTCTTTGATGGGGCAGAAGCGGAGGGAGGAGAGGTCGTAAGAGGCGGAGATTTAGGGGGCGGAGGATGACGATGATGGGGAGGAGAAAGATTGGGTTTTGAAGACGGAGGGGAGCTTGAGGTCATGGAAGGAGGAGGAGGAGAGGAGGTTGCGGTCGCTGGGTTTGAAGAAGAAGGAGGAGGTGGCCATGGAGAGTATCATGGTCTTCACGAATTTAAATCTCTTGGGTTTTGTGTTTTGGGGCTCAGAGAACACAAAGTTTACTTTTGGAGGCAAAGCACCCGTTGAAAAAGTCTTGGGAGGAGGAAGCACGTTTTCTTTCATTTTGGGGTCTGGAAGCATTTTTCCCAAGTACTTATTAGGGCTTAAATGACAAATATCAAAATAGTTTAGAGGTCTTCTGTAATTCCCAACTCTATTAGAGGTTTAGTACTGTAAATTTCAAACTTTTTAAGGATGAAGTGTCGAAGGCCCAAATTTATTAGGGGTTTAGTGAAATTTACCTTAGGTTATATGTACTTTTCTTCTTCTCGTTCATATACTATTAAGAATTGGGAGGTCTAGGACATAAAAATTAACTAGGAAAATACGAGAAAAGGCCAGTAATTAAAAATAAGTAGAGGTAGTAAATCACAAAAAAGTAAAAATCGTCGTTACCGTCAAATTTGACGGCTAGTGATAAACAGTGGGCCCCGCAAGTAGCTATTGCTGTTGTGACACACGTCTCTTTTGATGGGGAATAAATAAAAGGGCCCATAAAAGGCGCAGGCTTCATGGCTTTTTTTTGGGTTAATATCATAAAACCCCCCTTAATTTTGGATGATAAAGAAAAAACCTCCTTAACTTTCAAAATATCAGAAGTACAGTGATTATCAAAGCTTTCAAATTTATCATAAAATCTCCTTTAATTTTAAAATTTTATCAAAAAACCCATAAATTTGGGGGGTTTTCTGATAAAATCTCAAAGTTAAAGCAGTTTTCTGCTAACCCCTAAACTAGATGGTTTTTCTTTTTCTTTTTCTTTTTTTTTGGGGGGGGGGGGGGGGTTTGAAAGTTTAGGGGGTTTTCTGATAATCATCCAAAGTTAAAGGGAGTTTAACAACATTTAGCCCTTTTTCCCCACTACCTATATGCAATTAATTTCCTAGAATCAATGTATTTTCTCTGTTTTTTGTTCTTTTTGAACTTTTGAATAAGAAGGGAAGTTTGAAAAGCAACTGCTTCAGATTACAGGTAGCATTTATAACAGGAACAACTTGTGGGTTGAATTTTAAGCCCATTGTCGAAAATTGGCCCTCTGTGATAGTGATAACAATATTGTTGGATGAAATTGTTTGTAATGTGACAATGATGAAATTGTAACATTTTGCTTGCTCGCAAGCTGTTTGTAGAAATGCCTTTGAGAGAAGCTCTGCCGTCTATACTCTATAGTGTTGTTACAGTTGGTCAAGGTTTTTGCTTTTCTAGCTGTTGATGCTACCATTTTAAATAGATTTCAGAAGCCTTGAGTGAGCTTGAATGAAATGCTGAGAAAGAAGAAGATGGGTTAGGCTTGTAATTCATTTCTCTGTTTAATCAGCCGTTACGATATTTGGTGTCATGTGTATTGAATTTTCAATCAGCGGACATGCTCATAAGATGTTTATAGAAATGGCTTGTTAGAAGGTCTATATTATTTTGTCATCGCCATTCGTTAAAGTTTCCCTTTGTCGATTCAATGGTACCATGAAAGGGATTTGCGAAGCTTTAAGTAAGCTCAAACATTTACACAGGCGGGAGAATGGTTAATGGGAGAACGGGTTCTTAGAGAGAAGAAGATGAACCAGGCTGGTGATTGATTTCTCTGCATAATTAACCTCTGCAATGATGCATATACAAATACAATGCCAAAGCTAAACAATAATAACTACATTCCATCCATCATAGTTTTAACTAATGCCCAAATTTACAGCAGAAGCAATTTCTGAAGCTCATAGTAACTTATTTCTCAGTGTCATAAGCTTTGTATCATCAACATTCTAACAATTCTAGATTCTGCGTGATTAGTCTGATTGATATTGCTTCTTTTGTGTAATAGTTGATGCCCTCAAGCAGATCGGGGCAAAGTTGAAGATGCAATGGAACTTCTCAGTGGATCCTTGCAGCGGCAGTGGAGGATGGGTAAAGACATTTGATTCTTCCTACCTAGCAAACAATCTCACTTGTGACTGCAACAATGCCACAAACATTTGTCATGTAACTAGCATGTAAGTCGTTTGTGCTTAAATGATGCGATTCATCTTTTGTTTCTCTGTTGCTTGTGCATGTATGTAAAATTTTACTGTGTTTTTTATGCAGTCAACTCAGGGGTCTGAACCTAACAGGCGTGCTGCCAGTTGCGTTTGCTAATCTCAAACACCTAACGTTTCTGTAAGTTTGTCGGACCATATTATCTTGGTTATACGGACACAAATTGAAATTCGGTAAAACATAAATACATTTTCTTTTGAATGCAGAGACCTCACTCGAAACTATCTAAGTGGATCAATTCCAGCAGAATGGGCTTCCCTTCCTCTCACCAACATGTAAATAATCTCCAGTTTTTTAACCTTTTCCTATATCGCTCAAGAGAAACTATTTGACTGGCGGAGTGTAATTATCTGTGGCTTGCAGTTCACTATTGGGAAACCGAGTTTCTGGAAAGATTCCTGACGAGCTAGGAAACATGTCTACTCTTCAGTCACTGTAATCCTTCTTTCCCTTTCTGGAGTTTACATGTTTAAGTTTTACTACATTATGGAGTACATGATTTGTATCCTTCCATCAAAGGGAATAATAGTGAAGAAACATATTACTGTTGGTATTTTCGTTTACTACAAAGCAAAGTTAAATGTAATTTTAAGTAGGTTGATACTAAATTTTGTAAAGCTTTGAGTTCATAATTAAGTATGTGGTATGCAGTTATTTTCTTAGTTTTGCAAAAATGAAGTATGTATCTCAGAAGAATCTTTTTTCTAACCTATCTTTAGGGTATGTGTGACATCCCACGTGAGTGTGCTGTCAAGTGAGATGACAGCGACACTTCCTACCTTACAAACTTAGTCCCACATCGGTGGGAATGAGAGAAAATTAAGGATTTATATAGTGAAGCTAAAGACTCAAGTGTAACATCGGCTAGTCGATTTTGGCAGTGGTTTGAGCCAAATAGCACGTTGCACTCGGTGGGTCCCACGGCTCGCACGCGCCAACGGGCCAACGGGCCCGGGGCGTGACAAATGGTATCAGAGCAGTTGCCTTCCGGAAGTGTGGAGCTAAGTGCTATGCAGGGTTAAGTGCTACACCGTGTGATGGGAGCCACCTCTAGAGCCCGTAGGAGCTACCTCTAGAGTCCACATCACCTGGTAGTCTGGAATGTGCTAATTGTCATGCCGCGACGAGGACGTCGCCTTTGTAAGGTGGGGGTGAATGTGACATCCCACGTGAGTGTGCTGTCAAGTGAGATGACATCGACACTTCCCACCTTATAAACTTAGTCCCATATCGGTGGGAATGAGAGAAAATTTAGGATTTATATAGTGAAGCTAAAGACTCAAGTGTAACATCGGCTAGTCAATTTTGGCAGTGGTTTGAGCCAAATAGCACGTTACACTCGGTGGATCCCACGGGTCGCACGCGCCAACGGGCCCACGGGCCCGGGGCGTGACAGTATGTTTGTGACAACTATAGCTTTTTTTAATTCAAATGACTCAAAAATACATATAAGGTTTAATGTAAGGGGTTAATTGCAAATGGACCCCTTGTAGTATCACCCAGTTTCGAATAGAACCCCTGTAGTTCTATTTGTGGCAAATATTGTAGTATCGGTCCAAGAGTGAATGTACCCCCTTAGTGAACTTTTTAAACTCTTTTAAAAGTGAAAAAGATTAACAAAAAGCAATTGGCGATCTATCTGCACAATTATAACTACAAGGGGTCTATTCGAAATTGGATGATACTACAGGACTTCTATTTGCAATTAACCCTTAATGTAATACATGAAGATATATGAAAAAGACAACTGAACCTACTAACAAATAACACCGTCGTGCTCAAAACTCAAGTTTAAAGTCTGCAACTCAAGGTAAAAGCAACAAAAGTATCCTAATATCGGTGAGTCAAATCCTGTAAAATCTTCTTCTTTGCCGCTTGTTCTGAGCTTAAATGGGTTAATTACTGATTGACCCCCTGTAGTATCATCCAATTGCGAATAGACCCCTTGTAGTTCTATTTGCTACGGATCCCCTGTAGTATTGGCGCTAGGGTGATTACACCCCCTTAGCAAACTTTTTCAACTCTTTAAGAGCGAAAAAGGTCATTAATAGAACTATAGGGGGTCTACCTGCCTCCTCAAGCATTTTTAACGATTTTAAGTGTCAAATAAAGTTCGCCTAGTCCATCACACAAATAGAACTACAGGGGGTCTTTTAGCAATTAACCCTAAATATTGTTATTGTTGCTCATGCTTTGTTTTTATTTTCTTTATGATTCATATTCTTGTTTTTTATGTTATTATTGTCTTTCTTTTGTGTATGTGGTAGGGTGCTGGATGCTAACAAGCTTGAAGGCCCAATTCCTGCAACCATTGGTAAACTTACCAAGTTATCTCGATTGTGAGTCTCTGCTCCATCATAAAGTTATTTTACTTCTCTCGACCATCAAAATAAAATCAATGAATTAATGGATTAGTGATCAATTGTTTCATATTTTATGTTTACTTTTCTCTTCCTTCCTGCAGGTTTCTTGCTTCAAATAATTTCTCTGGAGAACTGCCAGAGTCGCTTGGCAATCTCAAGAATATGTCTTTCTTGTACGTTAAGATTCTCTTGCCTCACATTTGTTTCTTGTATCAAGTCCATGGTTTACGCAACTGTTGATTAATAAACACATAATGATGGCGGCTGTCATATGATAGTCATAGTAATATAATACATTCATAAAACTAAAATATTCTGCATTCCTTAATGGAATGGAGAAGCTCCATTTGCTCCAAGCAGTTTATCAAATAGTTCAAAGAATGATTAGGTATGGACAAAACGTAAATGTCATGCTCCGAGATGGATGCAGGCTTTTGGATATGATAATTGCCTATAATAATATATGCTCTATACAGATATTTTCTCTAATTATATGAATGGTTCTTCTATTTCCCAGGGTTTGGCTAAATTAAGGGAAAAGAAAAAACTAGAATCCATCCCATCCAGATCATTGAATGATCCATTTATCACTCTTCTGTTTCTATTATAGGAGTCAAAAGATACTATGATGGTTCTGTTGCTTCTATTTCGTCTGTGATTCAGCAATCCGAAAGCTTTTTAATACGGCGGAATAAGGAAATGTTTTAACTCATATTAGCATTTGTTTTTACAAATCATGTATGGAAGAATCGAATGATCTATTATATAATTAGCTTTAGTTATAAAGGGCATAACATATTCGATCTTAAATAACTTTTGAGATATATAGTTGTTTACAAGGTATATCAGATATGCCAATTAATTTGTCAGGATATCTCCTACATATTATCGTTCAATCTAGATTAGATGCAGGATGAACTAGGACTACTAGCACATATATAAGTTCGATATCCTGGTGTAAGATGCCATTTTCAAGCCATCAATTTCGCACTTTATGTCTTAGTGGTTGTCAAGACAGCTGGATCTACTCTCAATGTTTCTATTGATCTTTTATCTTAATGAGAGCACCAAAATCCTGGACAAAAGACGAGAGAGAGAGAGAGAGAGAGAGAGAGAGAGAGAGAGAGAGAGAGAGAGAGAGAGAGAGAGACCCCTCCTCATCCTATTCAACCTCCCCCTCTCCCTCCTCATCATCCTTTTCCTCCTCCCCCTCATCCTCTTCAACCTCTCCTTTGTATGTGTCCTTCACAATTGGAGTTCTGAAGGGAACTGGTGAACATTTACTGTTACGGGGACCCCTTTGTATGTCTGGTGAGACTTGGATACTGTCTCTCCCCTGCTACAAGTTCTGAACCTATACGTCTGTATCATCATAGTATCTTGCCCAAATTTCCAGTATATCATAGAACTCCCTCAACCCTCAACAGTGAAGACACTGGACAAGTGTCTGATATTTGAGCTAAAAAGGCAGCTGTATACTGGTATTCAGTCGATACTAGTAAGGTTTGCTTCTTTTTGAAAATTCAGTAATCCTCAATTTTAGCGAATATAATGAGAGTAGCAGAGTTAATTCTATAGTTTAAATATAGAACTCCTTATCTTGAGTTGCAGTATAATAACTTTTCATAGTTTGTTTTGTGCTCAGATACTAGTGTTATTTAAATTCAATACTAGTTGTATAGTAGTTTATCATGATGCTACATGAGTATTTATCTTTTAAGGAAACACGTACAGGTTATTCTTGATCCTGTATTTAGTTAGAAGCTTATTGATATTCTAATGATGCAGGAATATTACTTTTCTTTCTTCAACTTATGGTCTTGAGTGCAAAGAAGTGATCACTTATTGTGTAATGCAAATGAGCTACAAATAATATCTCTTGGATCTTCTACACACTGGATTACCATCTTATTATTTTTTAGATTAATTAGATGTTGATTCTGCTAGAGTTCTTACTCTAGATTTTTTTTTTCTTCGCATAGTACGTTCACTTATTTTAAGTCATAAGTGGCAGAAGTTTAAGTCAATCCGATTAACATCATCCTAGGTGCCAGGTGGTTATCTTCCTTATGCTTAACAGATTTCAGCATTGAAGCTTTTGTTTGATCTTCTATCTGCAGTTTAATAGATGGCAACCCAATCTCTGGAAAAATTCCCAGCTTCATTGGCAACTGGACGCAGCTCCAGCGGCTGTGAGTACTACTACATTACTCTTTCATGTTATGTTTTCCCTGAGAGGCTTCAGGTTTCGTTAATGATTTTCACAAAGATAAATAAATAAATAATATGATGCTCATTTTGAGGTTGATATTTGAAACTATTGGCAGAGATATGCGAGGAACTTCTTTGGAAGGACCATTTCCTCCCACCTTCGCCAATTTGACCTCTCTTTCTCAGCTGTAAGAGCAACTAATATCATCATGCTTCAATTGTCTCCAACATTTTTGCTGCCTCCTTATGATGTTCTGGTGATACAGGAGGGTGACCGATATTAGAGGCATCACAGAATTCCCTCCTCTTCAGAATATGAAAAGCATGAATCAACTGTTAGTGTGAACCTCTTGACTTCCCCTATTTGATTATCCCAATTTGATTTGTAGGTCTTGTTTGTGTATTGAATATCTTTGTTGGTGGTACAATGCAGGGTCTTGAGAAATTTATCAATATCTGGTCAGCTACCTGATTACATTGGAGATATGACAAATCTCTTTCTGCTGTAAGTCTAATTGATGGTGAAGTTTGCACTATTAATGAAGAAAGTGCTTAACTGATGTACATTTTACTTCCCAGTAATTGCATCTTAGTTGTTTCATGGAGGATATAACTTCAAAGGAGTATACAGTTTTGGGCCCAAAGTAGTTGTATTGTTTTTGACCTTCTATTGCACCTGACACTCATTATATGCATGTTTGTCCCCCAACGTTTGACAAGACTATTGGTTCTATTACAGCATTTCCTCAACACAAGATTGTCCTCGAAAACAGTTTCTTGATCGTAAAACTTTCTTGCCTGCTTTGATCTTCTTGATGTCATGGGCTTTTGCTAAAAATACTTGAGAAATAGCTATCTTGATGTCTTGTAGCAATGCAAATGTTATGATCAGTATATTTTGCATTCTTACTTCAAAATTTTCAACCTCTTAACCCCTTAAACACTGGTTCTTATTTATTTCCTTCTAGAACACGAATAGACATGAAGCCTGTTGTTAGAAATCCCTTGTTATTTTATGACAGAATACTCGTTCAGATGGTAACAAAGTATTGTTATCCCACGCTGTCCTCATTTATTCTGCTTGCTTTTCAGAGACCTGAGTTTCAACAATCTGAGTGGAGATATTCCGGGAAGTTTTTCCGGGCTGCGAAGTTCAATTAATTATATGTAAGTATATGTGATTCCTACTTTAGTTCCATAGATTCATACCACTTCCATTAAGATAGCACATAAGTACCCTATAGCTTCCCTCTTTTTGAACTTAACATACCCTCATTTTTTTTCGCAGTTTATATACCCTAAGTTGTTTAAAATTAGCGTGTCACTACCCTCTATTATGCAAACGTGAAATTTTCATCCGATTGTTCTCATATGACACTTAATATAAATTATCATGTGAGTGTCATATGGGAACAGTAAAAAATTTCACTTTTGTATAATAGAGGGTACCAATTTTAAACAACTTAGGGTATATAAATGCTATGAAAAGTATGTAAAAGTGTAAGTGCAAAGTGAATGAAGCTATAAGGTATATAAGTGCAATTGAGCCAACTTAAAAAGGAACAAATTCATAGTGTTTCTTTCTACTATTGATAAAAACTATCAATGGCTTTTTTTGCCCTGCTTGTGTAGGTTTCTCTCAAATAACATGCTTAATGGAACAATACCCAGTTGGATCTTGAGTAGCAGTAAGAACTTGTATGTTATGTTTATAAGAAAACTTTCAATTGCATTTCATTTGGGCATGGGTTTTCGCAGTTGTTTTTCTGAAACCCTATATTGCAGGGACATATCTTATAACAATTTCACAGGTTCTCCTGCACCATCCAGTTGCCAACAAGGGAATGTGTAAGTAACCTTGATTTCCATTTCTTTCTCTCATTCATTTATCGTTATTTGGATATATTGGGTCCTTATCTCAGTCGGTTTTCTTTGCAGGGATCTGGCCTCCAGTTATTCATCCACAAGCGGCAATTTGTAAGTTTCAGTGGTTGTATGTTTTATTTCCTTTTCTCAGCTTACCTGTTTTTAGCTTTTAGCTGCAAAAATCTGGACTAACTACTTTTCTGCATTTCTCATTTTGCCATAGGATAGAGACATGTTTACAGAGAAATTTTCCTTGTTCAGGAAAGCCAAGAAGTGAGTTTTTAATTTGTGGAAGATTTTTTTTCTCAATAAGGATTTTAAGCCTTTTTGTCTCATCTAGGAATTTTTATATTTAACTATAGACTTTATTCCTGTAAACTTTGAAAATGTCTTTCCATGACTAACTATTTCTGAACCCTCAACTTCCACAGACTACAACTTGTTCATAAATTGTGGTGGTCGCATGGTGACCATCGAAGGAAATGACTATGAAGATGACTCATCTCCAAGTGGAGCATCAAGATATTACTCTGATAATAGTAAATGGGCTTCAACGAGTACAGGATATTTTTCCGACAATACCAATGCTAATTACATTGCTACAAACACATCAATGTTGAATATGTCCAACCCAGAACTGTATACAACAGCTCGGCTCGCTCCTGCCTCTCTCAGATATTTTGGTCTCTGCTTACAGAAGGGAAACTATAATGTGAGTCTCCACTTTGCTGAAATAGTGTTCACAAATGATCAAACATTTTCCAGCAATGGCAGGCGAATATTTGACGTATCAATCCAGGTGACTTCTCTATCATGCAACTTTTCTCAATTGATTAGTTGAGTTTCCTATTTTGTTCTAGTTTATCTGGATTCTTCAAGTCATAATACATAATATCCATATAATCTTTGTTGGCAACAGTAAGAAAAGTGATTACTTGTCCTACTATTGTGGTACTTAAATCCTTGCACTTCTATTGTACTGGATCAGACCTCAGAGTGTGCACTCTATTGTACCAGAAAACAAGCCTAACAAGGGTTAAAAGTTCTGGGGTTCTTCTGAAATGTTCACGAACTCCTTTCTGAAGAGGGAATATTAAATTAGGTTGTCAATGGTATCTTTGCTAGTACATTAACAAAGAGGCACAACTCTCTATTCCTTTATATTTATCGGATTACGTTACTCCTTTTAAGAATCAAATACCTGCTTGTTGGCCAAATGGATATCTTAACCTTCAGGAGTATTTGTTTTTCCATTTCTTCTTATGTAAAGGTTATACTTTGTTCCGTTATTTGTTTTCTCTTCTCTTCCTTAGTATAATACTCTATAGTAGTGTACTTCTGCTATTTTCTGCCTGTAATTGAAATTTAAATAGAAGATAAAGAATTCACAGTTATTAAAGTTATTAAACTTTAACGCCATCCATGAAATCTGAATTTAGAAACTGAACAAAATCATTAGAAGTAGCACACTTTTGTTATATCTAGTCCACAAAAATGGAAAATAGGAAATGCAATAGGCAAAAAATTGTGAAACCAATGAATGAGATTTGCTATACCAAACCTTGTTGTCATTTTACATTTTGTTTAGTCACTTTTTTAGTTTTGGGAAAATTTAGAGGTTCTTCATGGTGCATTAGCGTACACTGCATGCTGGAAAATGGTTCACTTACCTGCCAGCTATGTGGCAGTCAAGGTTTTATGACACTTTCTTCTTGCTGATGATTGGCTTGGCTTGGAGTTTGGCACCAACTTATGAGCATTGATGTTAGTTGGCACCCGACCATGAAAACTTGGTCAATCTTTTATGGAGTTTTGTGGACTTTGAGTCTTGCTTCAGAATTTCCATTTTTATGGGAACCGGCTTGGATAATGAACATGACCATCGTCATGGTACATTTAGATTGTTCAACTTTCATATGTTGAATTTATTCCTATCTATATTATTTTCTCTTCTCTTGTCTTCCATTCTCGAAACGTTTATGTGGAGGTTTTGTAGGTATGAATTTCTTGCTACCCAACTATATATATGCATGAATTTCTTATACCATGTTCTTGTACATGACTTTGGCTCTTTAGCTGGTATTAGTATTTGAGCCATATGTTGTTCTTTGACTCAAAGCACTGCTAAATGCGTTTGTTCTATGTTTTTTTATGTCTCCTAGCTCAGTTAGGAGTCCAAGTTCCTTAAATACTTTTGAGTCTTGAACAAGAATAAATATAGGCTATTTTTCGATTTTATGTTGCTTTGAGAAGTTTCCTTAAGAATATTTGTGAAATTTATGTGGGAATTTAGTTGAAGGATTGAGCAAATAAATCAGTGGTAAGCTTTTACATATTTTATGGGACTAATAATCTTCTACTTATTTCCATGTCATTACGATATGTATGATAAAGGTTTCAATAATGCAGGGCCGAAAGGTTTTGCAAGACTTTAATATAGCAAAAGAAGCTAATGGGACCGGTAAAAATATTATTAAGTCCTTTAATACTGATGTTGATCATACTTTGGAGATTTCCTTTTACTGGGCTGGGAAAGGGACCAACTCTATTCCTCAGAGAGGTGTATATGGACCTCTTGTATCAGCCATTTCAGTTATTCCAAGTAAGTTAATGAACCTTGTACGTAAATTTTCTTTTCTTTCCTCTATACATTGCTTCGTTGATGCTGACATTTAATCATTTTACCAATGTAGATTTCAAGCCAGATACAGGTAACGGATTATCAGTTGGGGCTATCGTGAGCATTGTTGCTGGTGCTTGTGCACTGATCATGTTGATAGCTGTCATGCTTTTGGTTTTCTTGAGAAGGAAAAGAGCTAAAAATAGTGGTATGGTAATGGTTTTAGGATCATTCATCTCCCGTTTATGCATGTATCACACTGAACAACAATAACAGTTTTGTCATACCAAAATATTGTTGGGCTACTTGGTCATTTTTCTCCATTCATTCTTGATGTTTAGAGTACGAACTAGTCATCAAATTATATCTTTTGAATCCGTTTACTTGTTGTTCAGTTCTAGCTGCTTGTGAACTAGAACCTGCCACACCTAGGGTCCACACTTGGTTTCACAGGTCCACTTCAAACAATAAGTTTTAGTTCTATACAACATATACCGAAATCAGTCTTATGATTAATAGTTGAATAGTGTAGGATAACATTTGGATATTACTTGGTTATCAACTTCTGTCATAATTTTGCTATTACTAATCACATTCTGCTCTATTTCCACTACTTCTAAACCCTTAAAATCAGTTGTCACATTTCTAGTTAAAATATTTTGTTCCTTTATACTGTATGTAGCTTACACAACAACCTCTGGAAGGAAAAAATACATCACTGCATAATGGAACAAAGAAAAAGTTTTATTTTACTAAAATTTTCTTTTTTTGGAGTGCAGAACTTGAAGGTCTAGAGTTGCACACAAGTATATTCAGTTTGAAGCAGATCAAAGCTTCCACCAACAATTTTGATCCTGCAAATAAAATAGGTGAAGGAGGGTTTGGTCCAGTTTACAAGGTAATAGCTGTTTTCTACACGTTTCTCACTTTGATCCACTTTTTTTTCCTTGTTTGGACACATTATGAACTTCAATCCTAAATTATAACTATGCATGATATCAGGGTGTTTTGCCAGATGGTTCAGAAATAGCAGTCAAGCAACTATCTTCTAAGTCTAAGCAAGGGAACCGTGAATTTATAACTGAGATTGGCATGATATCTGCATTACAACACCCGAATTTGGTGAAACTTCATGGATGTGGGATGGAAGGAAACCAGTTACTGCTAGTATATGAATATATGGAAAATAATAGCCTTGCTCGTGCTTTATTTGGTTAGAGCTAAACATAAACACAGGAATTATGATTCATAATGTTAGTTTTTATTCTTTGATCTCACTTACATAGGTATGTATGTCCACAGGTCCTGAAAAAGCTCGATTGAAACTGGACTGGAAAACAAGGTATAAGATTTGTCTTGGCATAGCAAAGGGTCTGGCATATTTACATGAAGAGTCCAGGTTGAAGATTGTTCACCGAGACATTAAGGCAACTAACATTCTGCTTGATAAAGATCTCAACGCGAAGATCTCTGATTTTGGTTTGGCTAAACTTGATGAAGAAGAAAACACCCACATCAGCACTAGGATAGCAGGAACTATGTAAGTAAATTTTAGTACCTTCAGAAAGTTGTGTAACTTCTCTGTTATTGATGACAGTTTTCCATCTTATTTTGCAACTTATCCGTGGAACTTGTTAAAAGTGAATGCAAGGTCATAGAACTCAGCACATGTACAGATATTTTATGTCCCTTTTCCCATATAAACACCAAACACACATATATAGGGCCAGAGACAAACTTCAATGTTAGAGGGGCAATATAAAAATCAAAATATGCTAGCATTAAAGTCATTTACCTTTATACAGAAATCAATTAAGCAAATTGTTACTACTTCCCTATACTGAAATTAAGAAATCACTAATTTTCGTGATTAGCTTGATCTAAAAATCAAAGAGGCCAATGAATTAAAAAAAAAGATGATAGCATTGGGGTCCAGTAAAACCATATTAAGAAAATCATGAGAATCAAAGCAACCACCACAGCATCTTTGAAGAGCCCAAACATTATTTTGTTTTTAAGTCAAGAATATCCTCAAAAGGATAGTATTGCCAAATATAATCTCTTTTAACAAAGAAAAGGCAGAAACAGATGATGCACAAAAAGCCCACAGTGGTTTAATTTTTTCTGAAATATCAGATAGGATGGGTTTGCAAATTTCTGGATCTCAAAGGCATAGAGAGATTCAGCTTGGAAAGTTCAAATCAGAACAAGAGTCCGTTATAGGTAAAATATGTCAAGAACTCTATGGGACAGTGGCTTACATTTGAATATAAGTTTCATGATACTATTTGAAATGAAACCATTCATTCTGCAGATACTTTCATGAATCACGGCACATATACAAGCACACTCTTTAGGTAACTTTTTAGCTGTACTAAATTGATAAAATTTGATATGCCATACAAGTCTTCTGTTCTCTAGGTCTAATAGGTCAATTGATATCAAAGCTCCAAAGTTTTAAGATTTACTCCCAGAATGAAGTAGTCTGTCAATGAACACTTTTTCAATAGTAAGATGAGTGAGACCATTTGATTAATGAGTTGGAGACATGAGAAAGGACAGAAACATGAAAAGTTCTTTCTTTTGATGGAAAATTTTCTGCTTCTTTTTGAAAATTCAGTAATCCTCAATTTTAGCGAATATAATGAGAGTAGCAGAGTTAATTCTATAATTTAAATATAGAACTCCATATCTTGAGTTGCAGTATATCTTTTCATAGTTTGTTTTGTGCTCAGATACTAGTGTTATTTAAATTCAATACTAGTTGTATAGTAGTTTATCATGATGCTGTTGGATTTAATCTAATAAATCTATTTGTGCGCACATATGATTAATTAATGTGTATTGCTATCTTTCAGGATAACCCACTAAAGTGATCAATTAAGTTGGGTTAATGGGTATTTAAATATAATCATGGGGTTATATGTGCAGATACCAGGTTGTAATTGTGGTTTATTGAGGGGCTAAATTATAAAAGTACAACATCTATAAATAAGGGGTTATGGTCCCTAACCTAGGATTATATTCTCTAATTCTCTACACCCCCATCTAGCTAGAGAAATTCGGATTTAGAGAAACCCTAAGGTTAGAAGATCCAAAACCCATCTCAAGGTTCATCCATGGATTCAGGTATAAGCTTCCACTCATTTATGATTCTTGTTAATCTCTTTGAATTAATCATGGCTATATGGTTTTAGATCTCAAGTTTTTGTTTAGATTTAACAAGTGGTATCAGAGTCACCTTGATTAATTCTTAGGGATTTAAGTTTTATTGGGTTTTTTGATCTTAAATCTCTGGTTAAAGATTCAGTTTTTTTGTTCGGATGAACAGTAACAAAAAGTTTCGGACGAACAGTAAAGTTTTTTTCGGATGAACAGTAACTGAAAAATCGCTGGTGAACAGTAACTTTTTGGATTTTTTTTGGATTTTTCTTCGATTTTTTCTTGGTCTGGATCTGATTTTGAAAAATAAAATCGAGGAATTTTTTTTGGGTTTGTCGGCGGCGGTTTCAGTTTGAAACCCTAAGGGTTCGTGCGTGAAACGTGCCGAACATTAAGGAGGTGGTTACCTCAAATTTTGGCGAAGCTGAAAGCTTCAAACGAACCTCACGTTCGTTCAATTTTAACTGAACTTCACGTTCAACGAACTTCGCATTCGTTCTAAGGTGAGCCTCGCACTCAACGAACTTCGTGTTCGTTCTAAGGTGAGCCTCGCGCTCAATTCAGGTGAGCGTTAAGCTCAATTTAAACGAACTTCGCGTTCGTTCTCATGTGAGCCTCGCGCTCAACTCAGGTGAGCGTCAAGCTCAATTTTAACGAACCTCGCGTTCGTACTTCAGACGAACCTCGCGTTCGTGCTTCAGACGAACGTTCGTGCTTCAGTCGAACCTCGCGTTCAAGCTTCAGTCGAACCTCGCGTTCGTACTTCAGACGAACATCGCGTTCGTGCTTCAGCGAACCTCACGTTCGTACTTCAGTCGAACCTCGCGTTCGTGCTTCAGTCGAACCTCGCGTTCGTGCTTCAGTCGAACCTCGCGTTCGTTCTTCAGTCGAACCTTGCGTTCGAACTTCAGTTGAACCTCGCGTTCATTTTTTTGAACATTGCGTTCATTTTTTTTAACGAACCTCGCGTTCGTTCCCAAGTTGAACCTCGCGTTCTTTTATCAAACGAACCTCGCGTTCGTTCATTTTCAGACGAACCTCGCGTTCGTGCTTAAGTGAGTCTCGTACTCAATACAGTCGAACCTCGCGTTCGAAGTCAAGCGAACTTCGTGTTCACTATGGTTAAGCCTCAGCTTTTCATGGGTCCACTTTGGTATACTTAATTTATTCAATTAAGTTATGGGCCCTAATTAAGCTGTGAGACCCCAATTAAGTTTTTTGGAAATTTAGTTGATTTAAATTAAAACTTTTTAATTTAAATCTAATTTGGTTTTTAATCAATTATTTAATTCAAATATTATGACACTAAGGTATTAATGTTGTCTCTCACTCCAATTGATTAATTGAAACAAGAAGTTGCCAAAGTAACCTCTCTTGTGTAGATTGTTCATGAGGAATGTGAGATGTTTGTGTGTATGCTTTCGTGTAAATATTTAATCGGCCCAAAGGAAGGTTAATATTTATTTAGACTGTATACACATCTGCGATGATAAGCGTGTGACAATTATAAGGTTTACATGTGAATAATGAATCGATCCAAAGATAGTTTCATTATTTGACATGAGTTATTGTCAATGTTTGATCATTGCAACAAGGTATCACTTACAAGTTAATATTACTGTCCAAAGACTTGATATTAATGTTGTGCCGGTATCTTGGATGGGGATTGTCATTATTTGAATTTTATTGATTATGGTTATTGATGTGAGCATTCTTTTGTTTTATTTCAGCTAATGCATCTGCTGCAACAATTTCTGCTAACATCAACTCAATTCCCATGCTAAATGGGACAAACTTCAAGGTTTGGAAAGAGAACATATTAATTGTTCTTGGCTGCATGGATCTTGACTATGCATTAAGAACTGAACAACCCCAACCTCTCAATGCGGATAGCACTCCTGATGCAAAGAAGGAGCATGAGAAGTGGGAGCGTTCAAATCGCATGAGTCTTATGATCATTAAGCGCGGCGTTCCGGAAGCCTTCAGGGGCATAGAATCCGAAGGGATTACTAAGGCTAAAGATTTCCTTGCCGAAATTGAGAAGCGTTTTGCGAAAAACGATAAGGTAGAAACAAGCACGCTTTTAGCTCGCTTGATTTCAATGAAGTATAAGGGCAAAGGAAATATCAGGGAGTACATTATGGAAATGTCTCATATTGCTTCAAAGCTTAAGGCACTTAAACTCGATCTTTGTGACGAGTTATTAGTGCATCTGGTTTTGTTGTCTCTTCCTGCACAGTTTAACCAATTTAAGGTCAGTTATAACTGTCAAAAGGAGAAATGGACTCTAAATGAGCTCATTTCATACTGTGTGCAAGAAGAAGACAGGTTGAAGCAAGATAAGACAGAAAGTGCTCATTTGGCCTATGCCTCTAAGGATAAGGGCAAGAAAAGGAAGAATGATAAGGAAGCTGCTAAGGGTCCAGTTGAGAAGAAACAACATAAGGATAATCAGGGTTGTTTCTTCTGTAAGAAGCCTGGACATGTAAAGAAGGACTGTACAAAATATCACGCCTGGCGTGATAATAAGGGTACGTTCCTTGCTTTGGTCTGTTCTGAGGTTAATTTAGCTTCAGTACCTAGAAACACTTGGTGGTTAGACTCTGGTGCTACTACTCACATAAGTGTTTCTATGCAGGGTTGCCTGAGCTACCGAAAGCCAAGTGATGTTGAAAGACACATCTTTGTGGGCGACGGACAATCGGTAGATGTGGAAGCAATTGGGCACTTTAGGTTGTTGTTAGGAACTGGTTATTATTTGGATTTAAAAGATACTTTTGTAGTACCGTCTTTTAGACGGAATTTGGTTTCTGTTTCTGTATTGGACAAATCAGGTTATTCTTGTTCATTTGGAAACAGTCAATTCAGTTTATCTTTTAATTCAAATGTTGTGGGAACCGGTTACTTGAGTATTTATGACAACCTATATTTGCTTGATACAATTGCTTCTTACAATGAATCCTTGCATGTGGAATCACGTGGTACTAAGCGTAAATTAAATAAGGAAAATTCGGCGACATTATGGCATAAGCGCTTAGGTCATATCTCAAAAGGTAGAATTGAGCGTCTTGTGTCTGATGGCATTTTGGATTCCCTTGATTTTTCGGACTTCGACGTATGTGTTGAATGTATCAAGGGAAAACAGACCAAAGTGAAAAGATTAGGTGCCAACAGATCTTCGGATGTCTTAGAATTGATACATACGGATATTTGTGGGCCATTCCCTACGGAATCCTGGAATGGTCAACAATATTTTATATCATTCATAGACGATTACTCACGTTATGGGCACCTATATCTTATTCATGAAAAATCTGAGTCTCTGGACATGTTCAAAGCCTATAAAGCTGAAGTTGAGAATCAACTCAACAGAAGAATTAAAACCGTCAGATCTGATCGTGGTGGTGAGTACTACGGTAGATATGATGGTTCAGGTGAACAACGTCCAGGACCATTTGCTAGATACCTAGAGGAATACGGTATCGTCCCACAGTACACCATGCCGGGTTCACCTAGCATGAATGGTGTAGCTGAAAGACGAAACAGGACTCTTAAGGATATGGTAAGAAGTATGATTGCTCATTCTTCTTTACCAGAGTCACTCTGGGGAGAAGCACTTAAGACAGCAGCTTACATTCTGAATAGAGTACCAAGTAAAGCAGTTGCTAAAACACCTTATGAGCTTTGGACTGGTCGAAAGCCCAGTTTAAAGCATTTACATATTTGGGGATGTCCAGCTGAGGCAAGGCCTTATAGGCCAAATGAAAAGAAATTGGACTCCAAAACAGTTAGCAGCTACTTTATTGGATACTCTGAACGCTCTAGGGGCTTTAAGTTTTATGATCCCACTATAAGGAACATTTTTGAGACGGGAACAGCAACATTCTTTGAGGATGTTGAGTTTGGGGGGAGAAATAAGGTTAGAGACATTAGTTTTGAGGAGGAATTGGCTTCAGATCCAATCCATACAGTTACTTTTGACAATATTCAGGTTCCTATACCTGTTGTTGCTCAAGAAGTAAATCCGGAACCTCAAGATGATAATGTTGAACAACTCCCTGTTCCAGAAGAACAAACTCAACAACCTCAAGAACCAGTGCCATTAAGGAGATCCACGAGAGAAAGGAGAAATGCTATTCCGGATGATTATATTGTATTTCTCCAAGAACATGAGGAAAGTAGTGGAATGTTAGAAGATGATCCAATCAACTTCTCTCAGGCCATGAAAAGTTCTAACTCTCAACAGTGGATTGATGCCATGAATGAAGAGTACAAGTCTATGCAAGACAATAAGGTTTGGGAACTTGTCCCATTACCAGAAGGTGCAAAACCAATTGGTTGTAAATGGATTTTTAAAACCAAGCGGGATGCAAACGGTAATGTGGAGAGGTATAAGGCACGTCTTGTGGCTAAAGGCTATACTCAAAAGGAAGGCATTGATTATACAGAGACTTTCTCTCCGGTTTCATCGAAAGACTCTTTCAGAATAATCATGGCACTTGTTGCTCATTATGATCTTGAGTTACATCAGATGGATGTTAAGACTGCATTTCTCAATGGAGACATTGATGAGATGATCTATATGGTGCAACCAGAAAACTTTGTGTCGGGAGACCCAAAGAATATGGTCTGCAAATTAAGGAAATCCATCTATGGACTCAAGCAAGCTCCTCGTCAATGGTATCATAAGTTTCAACAAATAGTTATCTCGTTCGGTTTTGAGATGAACATTGTTGATGACTGTGTATATCACAAGTTCAGTGGGAGTAAGTATATTTTTCTGGTTCTGTATGTGGATGACATCTTGCTTGCCACTAATGATATAGGCATGTTGCACGAAACCAAGAGATTTCTATCAAAGAATTTTGAGATGAAAGATCTTGGGGACGCCTCTTTTATATTAGGGATCCAGATACATCGAGATCGCTCTCGGGGTATTCTTGGATTATCACAAAAGAGCTATATCGATAAGGTACTTAAAAGGTTTGGCATGCAAGATTGCAGACCAGGTGACACCCCTGTTGCTAAAGGAGACAAGTTTAGTCTCAATCAGTGCCCTAAAGGTAACCTTGAAATTCAGGAAATGCAGAAGATTCCTTATGCTTCGGCTGTAGGAAGTCTAATGTATGCTCAGGTATGTACGCGTCCGGATATTGCGTACATTGTTGGGATGTTAGGCAGATACTTAAGCAACCCTGGTATGGATCATTGGATAGCAGTCAAAAGGGTTATGAGGTATCTTCAGAAAACAAAAGATTACATGCTCACATACAGAAAATCAGAGAAATTAGAGGTCATTGGGTATTCGGACTCTGATTTTGCTGGATGCCAAGATAGCAGGAAGTCTACATCAGGCTACATTTATATGTTAGCAGGAGGAGCTATATCATGGAAAAGTGTCAAACAAACACTAGTAGCTTCCTCCACTATGGCAGCAGAATTTGTAGCTTGCTATGAGGCATCCAATCAGGGAATATGGCTGCGAAATTTTGTCACGGGACTGCGCATTTTGGAAAATGTTGAAAGACCACTAAGGCTATATTGTGACAATAAATCTGCAGTAATGTATTCCAATAACAACAGGAGCTCAACTAAGTCAAAACATATTGACATTAAGTTCCTGGTTGTGAAAGAAAGGGTACAGAGTGGACAGATATCCATAGAGCACATTGGGACAAACTCCATGATAGCTGATCCTCTTACTAAGGGATTGCCACCTAAGGTCTTTCATGAGCATACTGCTCATATGGGTGTGGTATTATTTGAGGATATTATGTTTTAGTGGGAGTTTGTATTTGTGGTGCTTTATGTTTGGTTGTATTGTCTGATCAGAATAAAGTATTCAGTTAAGACACTCTGTTACATTATGTTTGGTTTTGACCTCACTAAGGAGGACCAGTTGAAAATAGACATGTACTGATCACATTGCATGTAATTTTCATGCTGCACATCCATGATTGATCTATGTCGTTTGATTGTATTGGTATATGTGACCATTGATGGGTCGAGTCACGATAAATGTGACGAAGGCCGCTTTGATCCTATATTGATATAGTCAATGGACGAGATTGTTCGGAAATACCATTTCAGTGATAGCAATTTTTGAGCTCATAAGGTTATACACAGTTTAAGGAATCATATGGTGCCCAAGTGGGAGATTGTTGGATTTAATCTAATAAATCTATTTGTGGGCACATATGATTAATCAATGTGTATTGCTATCTTTCAGGATAACCCACTAAAGTGATCAATTAAGTTGGGTTAATGGGTATTTAAATATAATCATGGGGTTATATGTGCAGATACCAGGTTGTAATTGTGATTTATTGAGGGGCTAAATTACAAAAGTACAACATCTATAAATAAGGGGTTATGGTCCCTAACCTAGGGTTACATTCTCTAATTCTCTACACCCCCATCTAGCTAGAGAAATTCGGATTTAGAGAAACCCTAAGGTTAGAAGATCATCAAAAACCCAAATCAAGATTTCATCCATGGATTCAGGTATAAGCTTCCGCTCTTTTGATTATTGTTAATCTCTTTGAATTAATCATGGCTATATGGTTTTAGATCTCAAGTTTTGATTTAGATCTAACACGATCCACACAGACGAACTCATTGTAAGTTACCCCATATTTAACCTAAATGCTGCTCCATATACACATTCTCATATCTTCGACGCTCACTCTGATTTAGCAGAAAAGAACAACAAGAAACTTAGAATTTAAACATGCATATCATGTTAGGATGTAAGTGGCAAGGTTTTAAAAACATGGTTAATCAGATTATGCGACAACTGATCGGATTACGCGAAATTGCACATGTGTGAATTTTTAATATATATATAAATATTCATGAATAATAGTTGACAAAATTCAGACCTCTAGAGGTTTCAATATAAACTCAAACTTGAGTTCCTCTAGGGGGTCTACCCAAACAAACACAATCTGATCGTATACCAACAAAGAATGAATTCAAACCCTAAAAGCGTCTAGGGCGAATCTACAGCTACAAATTGAACCAGGACAGAAGTTAACAAAGAGGGAAGCAGAGTACCTTTTGAGAGAAGCAACGACGGAGATTGGAACAGAGCTCGACGGCGGCGGGGGACTTGGAATCTAGTCGGCAGAGGATACTTTAAGCCATAATAGTCTTCCATAGCTGAAGCCTATCTCTACTGTAACTTTCAGCATGTTCATTTGTATTATCCTAGTGTCAGAGAAAATAATGCAGTTCTCCCTAGAAAAATCATGCTATTTTCTCGTGTAAGTAGATTTTCTCCATGTCTATCAGAATTTTGGCTCTTGTTTCCAACTTATATAAAAAAATTCTGCCTTACAAACATTTCTTTTAGGTTTTATGGCAAGGGATTCTCTCGGTCACTGCGTAGCATAAACACTTCTATTTTAAAACAGTTTTGGGTACTGTATAAAAAACGACATTTCTCCCATGTTATTGAATAAACACCTCTACAGTGAATACGGACTATGACTATGAATGCTATTGCATTTCACAGTTCAATTAGATTCACTGAGATGAGTTACCATTTGTCGGAGGTTTTATTCATATTCTTAGTTTGTTAACTTTCTATTGTGAAATAGAGATGACTTTCTGGTCTATAATCTTGGCCCACTTGTAGCCTTTCTGCTAATGGATGATAAAGTCTAGTTTTCATTGTTGGCAAATGAAATAAAATCCGGCGAAAATAGATCTTATTTTCTCTCAAAATATGTTTCATTCTGTAAGGGCATTGCCTTATGTTTTGTATGATTCTTATTTAATGTTTAATGCTTTCTATAACAATCGCCATTGGTTTGTGCAGCGGATATATGGCTCCAGAATATGCAATGAGGGGATACTTGACAGACAAAGCAGATGTTTATAGCTTTGGGGTTGTTACGCTGGAGATTGTTAGTGGAACAAGCAATACAGGCTATAGGCCTAAGGAGGACTTTACTTATCTTCTTGATTGGGTAAGAATTTAAACTTAAATTTAAGAGAACTAAAAATATCTTATAGCATATGTTAAAATTAAACAAACATTAAAATTATCCAGTAATCAATTTGAAGGTACAGTATTGATACTAAAATTTCGACCATTTAATGATACTATTTATCATGCTGCTTTAAGCAAGTTCATGACTTTCCCTGGTCGCATATCCATTTGATGAACTAATCCAAAATTAATTAAGGGTTGAACACAAGATTGGTTGGATTTCTGTTTAAAGTTTTGAAGCCAAAAGCTTCCTGTGTTTGTTTAACTGACACTCTAAGAAGAAACCCATCTGGATATATAAGTTAAGCTTGAAACATACTAATCCTTTTCTAAAAAAAAAAATCCTTCTCTTATGCTATTCTGTGGGACTGCCTTAATATAATTCTTACATGTCTTGTATATGTTCAACTAATAAAAACAAGCAGCAGTAGATATAACATGGATTGTTTATACCAACTACTACCATGGTTGTGTAACCTCCTGTCATACCACAAAGAGCTTTGGGGTTCAAATAATCAAAATCTGCTCATGGCAGGTTACTATTTCCTTTCCCCAAAAGAAAAATAAATATGAATCAAAGATTCAGAATCACCCAATAAACATATCGCTCGAACCCCAACCCAAATAAAATGAGTTTGAATATTGTGATGAGCTTGTTGTATTTGGGATGAATTGATGTATCTTCGCTTTTGCAATTATTATCCTTTCAGTTTCATATTTCTCTTTGATATTGACATTGAGAAATTACATTTACCATCTGGAATGCAGCTCTATGTTTTACAAGAGCAAGGGAGATTGTTGGAGCTTGTGGACCCAAACCTGGGTTCAAACTACTCAAATGAAGAGGCAATGCAGATGTTGAACGTGTGTCTCTTATGCACCAATCCATCCCCAACTCTTAGACCTCTAATGTCCGAAGTAGTGACCATTCTTGAAGGCAAAAGATCAGTGAAGGCGCCCTCTATGAAGCCTGCAGCCTTGAATGGAGACGATTTGAGGTATAAATCATTAAGGAAACAATCTCATGACAGCCAAACACAAAGTATCTCAGATTTGCCATGGACTGACTCCTCCATATCAGCCCAAAGTACAGAAGGAGATATTTTGCATTCCTCATCAAGTAAGGTTCTTGATTACAGGGGAGCGTCTACAAGTTGAATCCAAGTCACTACATTACTTTTATAGAGATTCTTCGGCCTATCGTTTATGCTTGTGTTCGAAATCTGTTAGCTAATATGAAACCTTTCATTGTCGTTAAATGATTCTAAAATCCTAACTGCAACATGATTTCCTCAAAGTCATTGTTCCAAGCGATTAGGTTTGTTGTTTGTGCATGCATGTCATCTTTTAGATGCTTCTACCTTTGTTGGTCGTCCAAAAACTGTTGCATGAATTTATATTTGGAAGTTCTAGTTCATTATTTTTGGGTATCTGCAGATGCACCTCCTGTACTATAGGGGTATAGCAATTTACCAGCCATGTTCTATTTTATTAGCATGTACACCCCTTGCCTACTAAGGCGGCATGTTTTCTCGTTAGTTTCAAGCTCTCGTGGAAACCATGTGATGGTCAGAATTAGGCATTTGCTAAGAACAAACTCATGGGACCATCATCTTACTTTGAAAGTCAACGGAAAATAACATTGCAGTGGGGACCATAATTAAGGTGGATGTATTGTGGATTCTTGACATTCCTAATTAAGCCTTGTATTACATGTACAGGGGCGACGGCCAACACCAGTAGTTAGATGTGACCACGGAGAGAGATCAATTGTTCAATTTTATCTACAGTTCCGATGTAATTTATTAGCTCTTTGTATTAAGGAATATTTTGTAAATTCTTTCCTCTTAACCCTTCGTGTGCATTCTGCGTGGCTAGTATGCTTCCATCTTTTCGGAAGCAAGCAAGTGTTGTAATATATATATATTTTTTATTATAAATAGAGGTGGTATTCCTTAGTTTGTGCAAAGAGGAGGAATAATAGATGCCCCCGTTCTAGCCAACTTGATTGTACGGCCCAGGGATTGTTGTGGGCCTGTGTGGGGGTGGCGCCGCAAAATCTCTACTCTCCAAGGGGTATTGAACAATTTTCCCAAATAAAAACTAGCCAAGTTGATTGTACGGCCCAGGGATCGATCGATCACCCACCCGTCTGCGATGCCAGCCGACAGTGCATTCCATTCCTTGATGTCATCCTCACCGGTTGCGTTATTATTTTATTGCACAAATAAAAAGTCCGCCCTGGGACAAATTCGACGGCTTTCGTTTCGGACCGTCGTACAATCGAGGCAACAGTAGCATTCATTTTCGCATAATTAAACCGTTGGCTTGAAATAAAACCAACTAAACTCTTCCTAAGGTTTGAATAATCGATGGAGAAGAAGACCGTCTCTCGTTTTTGACTTGATGGTAAAAGAGCTATATACTAGTAAATTGATAGTCTGTAAACTCGAATACTAAAAAATATTTGTTTAGCGGTAAATGAACTACCGAATCGAATATGACCGAATAGTTATTCGAACAATTATCGAACTATTTGTTAATTATTTGGTTCATTTCCACCCCTATCGATCACCCACCCGTCTACGATGCCAGCCGACAGCGCATTCCTTGATGTCATCCTCACCGGTTGCGTTATTATTTATTGCACAAATAAAAAGTCTGCCCTGGGACAAATTCGACGGCTTTCGTTTCGGACCGTCGTACAATCGAGGCAACAGTAGCATTCATTTTCGCATAATAATTAAACCGTTGGCTTGAAATAAAACCAACTCACTCTTCCTAAGGTTTGAATAATCGATGGAGAAGAAGACCGTCTCTCGTTTTTGACTTGATGGTAAAAGAGCCCGCCCACCTACGCGTTCTTCTCTCTAGCCGCCATGCCCATGCTAATAAATTGATAGTCTGTGGTCATCAATTGAAGAGCTATATACTAGTAAATTTATCTGATCTTATGGTTCAAATATGGCTAATATTTTTGAGAAAATTTGGTTTAGAGACCTTTTCCGACTCGAGCATAAATTAAAGTTAATCTAGCTTAGTTTATGACCCTCTTCCGACTCAAGCATAAAAGCATTGTGTTCACTATAGCAAGGAACTGTTTACGCGCTGTTTGGAAATCTCAAATAAAAAAGGTTTTATATTTCTTATGCTTGGTTAGTATAATAATTTATGTAAAAAGAGGTCTTGAAAAGACCAATCACATCATTTTTTTATGAAACTCATTTAAATGTGTTTTACAAGTCATGAAATATTCATGCTTTATTGGTAAACCAACCAAATAGCCCCTTAGGTGAAATGCAAACATTTTCTTTATGAGCTAAATTACCATATTGGTATTCTAACTTGACCCTATCGTCAAATATGATATTTATTTCTTCTCTAGCGTTAATATGGTATTTTAACTCTTGTCCTAAGGATAATAAAGTCTTTTTCCCACTCACAGACGGTGAGGATTCCTAAGGACTGGATTTTTTTAATGAAAATTTTCTTCCATCTCCATGACCTATCAAAATTATTAAATCTACACTCTCCTCATCCTTCAACTTCCTCAATTCAAATCTATTTCACCCCATTTACTCAATAGGATCCTCCTTTGAGCCATCTCTTTCTTCTTCCGCAATTCAAATTTATTTCAACCCTCATTTGTCAAAATTATTAAATCTACATCTATATGTATGTCAAAATTATTAAATCTACATCTCTATATAGAGGAACCCTTGTTTACACAGTTTTAGGGAGCTTGCATATTGTTAGATTTACATAAACTGCTCTGATAGCTTTTCAGTGTACGAATGTCGGACAGCAACGTGATGTCCTTTACAACAACTCCGACAGATTATATTGTTTACGCGGTGTTAGTAATGCTACATAAACACTATCATTGGTCTCTTTTTGTAGCCCGACATAAACTTTCTGCATGGATTTCACCTTCTAGTTTCTAACACCTCCGATCTGCTATAGTTTTGTCAGCCAGTCTAACTATTTGTTTGGCAAATAGATTATGCACCTTTAACTTTATGCATGTGGGTAGCATAAGTTTAGCACAACGTAAATGTTTGCGGTGAAAGTTGATTTCATTATTTGGGAACTCATTACAATTGTTTATCGACTTACAAGTTCAAAAGAGTGAGCCTTTTTATAAGACTTCTCTTACACAAATAAAATAAAAAAAATTATAACTCTCTCAAAAAAATGCAGAGGACGTTTATCACCCGTTGCTTGCGTGAGATTTTTGCCTGTGACGGGGACGCATTAGTCTGTGGACCACCGCGGATCAGATCTGGTTGACACAGTGATTATTAAAAGTTTTTACTTCACAAAGGAAATAATCGCAGAAGTGATAATCTCGACCAAGTGAGATTATGACACTTCTCGAGATCAAAACAAAGTTTGTTCTGGAGGAAAAAGGATACGAGCCTCGGATCTCTCAAAAAGCTTCCCCTTTATGTTGAAGTTCGCCAAGATCTGCTAGCCATCTCTGAAATTCGTGGTTCACTCTTCAAATCGACAGCACCTCACCCAAAGTTTTAGTTCTTGAGAGATGAGCCCCTATGCTTGTATTTATAGACTTTTGTTGCAACATTTTCTGATAAGAACTGATGCTTTAGCATCATCTACTGTTAGCAACTGCTTAACCACGTTCAAGGAGAATATTAAGGTAGTTGGGAGGCCTAGGAACGAAGAAATCCTGAGAAAACCCATCGAAAAAACACATTTTCAGCGTTTCTGTGCGCGAGTCACCATCTGGTGGCTCAGCACTATGCGAGCCACCATTTGGTGGCTCGCGCCTATGCGAGCCACTGGCTTTGGTCCTTGTCATTTTGACGCAATTTGACCGCCAGGGGTTTTTTCGGTTCGTTCGGTTTAGCCTTGTTTCGCCATTACTCGCATTTCGTCGTTTCGTTGACCTGACCGCTTTTCCGATTCACTTTATGCATTTCGTTAGCTTATAGGTGGCTGACGAGTATGCGGGTCACTTGGAGCTGGCTGATGAGTGTGCAGGCTTATTGCAATATCATCAGCAATTCGTCGCTTTGTTGTTTCGACGGCTCATCGTCTCAAGCTATGTTCGTGACCTATAGGCAATTTTTGACACCTACAGATACCCCCTCCAAAGTATTTCAGTCTCATTCTTTCATAGAAGAGTCTGAAATACTTTGGATATGATACGCTTAGCCTTTAATTCTTTGACTTCTTCAGCTTTCAGTCTATTCAGTATTTTATCGAATAGCTAAAATTCTTCCGGTGCTGCATTTATCGTCTGACCGTCGTCGAAATCTCGGACTTAGACTGGCGTGTTGATATCTAAATTAGCTTGTGTCATTGAATCGATGTTGAACTGATCATCTTCATCGGGAATTCGCATCTGAATCACGATTGAACTCCCCGAGGTTAATTCAGAAGGAATTGAGAATAATCCTGAGCCTTGTTTTGACGAGACTATTGACGTGTTGACCGGCATCGATTTGCATTGAACAACATTTGACTTTCATCATCACATGTTGAATGGCATCAACTCGCGTCGAATGGTGTTTACCCGTGTCGATCTTCCTCATCACGTATTGACCGGTGTGAACATAGTTGGCTACGCTTCTACAGGTGTCGACTTTCATCCTCTCATGTTGAATGGTGTCTACTCGCGTCGAATGGTGTCAACTCGCGTCGAATGGTGTCATCACGCATTGAACGGAGTGAACACCGTTTATACTCATACATAAACTGGAGTCTACACAGTTTAAGCTCTTAAAGCATTAGAGCGAGGAGGGTCAGTTTATGCTCGTATACTCCTAGGAGTTCCGGGAATTAGTTTAACCTCATATACCGTCGAAGGTTGTCAGGTTATCCTTAAGAATATTCTGTGTAATATTCTCAAGAAACTTTCCCTCGAGGGTAGGAAACAATTTAGACTTGTATACTCATTTGAGTATGAATACGAGTGTCAAATATGTTGAAAATACTCAAAAATGGGCAAAAATACATGTTATGGGCGAGACACACATGGTGTCTCCCCCCTTTTTGGGCAAAACATAACTCCTAGCTGAGTTGTTTTATCGTTTCGCGTGTCATATTAACTCGTACGGTTCACCGATTCACTTCATGTATTTTGTTAACTTAAAGGTGGTGGGTGAGCATATTGGCCACTTAGAGATAGCCAGTGAGCGCGCGGGCCACTCAGAGCTGGCCGGTGAGCGCGCGGGCTATTTGGAGGTGGCTGATTAGCATGCGGACCACTTGGAGGTGGCCGGTGAGCATGTGGGCCACTTGGCGGTGGCTGATGAGTGTGTAGGCTGCTTGGAGATGGCCAGTGAGCACGCGGACCACTTTGAGCTAGCTGATAAGCGCGTGGGCCACTTGGAGGTGGCCGGTGAGTGCGCGGGTCACTCAGACATGGCTGATGAGCGCGCGGGTCACTTAGAGGTGGCTGATGAGCGTGCGGGACACTTCGAGGTGGCTGATAAATGTGCAGGCTACTAGGAGGTGACCGGTGAGCACGCTGGCCACTTGGTTTGTCATTCCGATGGCTTGTTGCTACGTCATCAATAGTTCGTCGATTCGCTTCCTACGCTTGTTGGCATCAAATAACCCTCCTTGACTCGGATAATGACGTTCATCATCTTCTCTCCATCTCGAACTGTGTGCGGGAACCTATAGAAAATTTTTGATGCCCACTATAGGCTGTCTAAAAATCACAATAGATAGCTGATCCCCATCAAACACCGATGATGGAAGTTACAATCTGACGACTTCCAGAAGGTTATAATTTGAAGACTTTCACGTAGACTGATGAAGGTCACAATCTGACGACCTTTGTAATAACTGATGAAAGCTCTAATCAACAGCCTCCACAATCAGCATCGGGAGTTACAATCTGACGACTCTCACATATCAGAGAACCAAAGCAAAGATTACAAAATGACGATCTTTGCAACACTTCGACAGAAGGAGACTACAAATC